TAAATTGATACAGCCACTATGGAGAACAGTATGGAGGTTCCTTAAAAAACTAAAAATAGAACTACCATACAACCCAGCAATCCCACTATTGGGCATATACCCTGAGAAAACCCTAATTCAAAAAGAGTCATGTACCACTATGTTCATTGCAGCTCTATTTACAATAGCCAGGACATGGAAGCAACCTAAGTGTCCATCGACAGATGAATGGATAAAGAAAATGTGGCACATACATACAATGGAATATTACTCAGCCATATAAAGAAACGAAATTGAGTTACATGTAGTGAGGTGGATGGACCTAGAGTCTGTCATACAGAGTGAAGTAAGTCAGAAAGAGAAAAACAAATACCGTATGCTAACACATATATATGGAATCTAAGAAAAAAAAAAAGGTCATGAAGAACCTAGGGGCAAGATGGGAATAAAGACACAGACCTACTAGAGAATGCACTTGAGAATATGGGGAGGGGGAAGGGTAAGCTGTGACAAAGTGAGAGAGTGGCATGGACATATATACACTACCAAATGTAAAACAGATAGCTAGTGGGAAGCAGCTGCATAGCACAGGGAGATCAGCTCAGTGCTTTGTGACAACCTAGATGGGTGGGAGGGAGGAAGATGCAAGAGGGAAGAGATATGGCGATATATGTATATGTATAGCCAATTCACTTTGTTATAAAGCAGAAACTAACACACCATTGTAAAGCAATTATACTCCAATAAAGATGTTAAAAAAAAAGATATCTAAAAAAAAATAAACACAAGAAAACTCTTAGAGGAAAACATAGGAAGAATACTCTTTGACATAAATCACAGCAAGATAATTTTTTGATCCACCTCCTAGAGTAATGGAAATAAAAACAAAAATAAACAAATGGGACCTAATGAAACTTAAAAGCTTTTGCACAGTAAAGGAAACCATAAACAAAACGAAAAGACAACCCTCAGAATCGGAGAAAATATTTGCAAATGAATCAATGGACAAAGGATTAATCTCTAAAATATATAAACAGGTCATGCAGCTCAATATTAAAAAAAACAGGGCTTCCCTGGTGGCGCAGTGGTTGAGAGTCTGCCTGCCGATGCAGGGGTCACGGGTTCGTGCCCTGGTCCGAGAGGATCCCACATGCCGTGGAGCGGCTCTGCCTGTGAGCCATGGCCGCTGAGCCTGCGCATCCAGAGCCTGTGCTCCGCAACGGGAGAGGCCACAGCAGTGAGAGGCCCGTGTACCGCAAAAAAAAGGAAAAAAACAAAAAACAAAAAAAACAAACAACCCAATCAAAAAATGGGCAGAAGACCTAAATAGACATGTCTCCAAAGAAGACATACAGATGGCCAAGAGGCACATGAAAAGCTGCTCGACATCGCTAATTATTAGAGAAATGCAAGTCAAAACTACAATGAGGTATCACCTCATACCAGTTAGAATGGGCATCATCAGAAAATCTACAAACAACAAATGCTGGAGAGGGCGTGGAGAAAAGGGAACCCTCTTGCACTGTTAGTGGGAATGTAAATTGATACAGCCACTATGGAGAACAGTATGGAGGTTCCTTAAAAAATTAAAGTAGAATTACCATATGACCCAGCAATCCCACTACTGGGCATACACCCAGAGACAACAATAATTCAAAAGGACACATGCACCCCAATGTTCACTGCAGCACTATTTACAATAGCCAGGAAATGGAAGCAACCTAAATGCCCATCAACAGACGAATGGATAAAGAAGATGTGGCACATATATACAATGGAATATTACTCAGCCATAAAAAGGAATGAAATTGGGTCATTTGTAGAGGCGTGGATGGATCTAATGAGACTGTCATACAGAGTGAAGTAAGTCAGAAAGAGAAAAACAAATATCGTATACTAACGCATACACGTGGAACCTAGAAAAATGGTACAGATGAACTGGTTTGCAAGACGGAAACTGAGACACAGTGTAGAGAACAAACGTATGGACACCAAGGGGGGAAAGCGGCGGGGGCAGGGGTGGGGGTGTGATGAATTGGGAGATTAGTATTGACATGTATACACTGATGTGTATAAAATGGATGACTAATAAGAACCTGCTGTAGAAAAAGATAAATAAAATTCAAAAGTTCAAAATAAAAGAAAAAAAAAAAAATAATGAAAAAAATTTTTTTATATAAATATATAAATAAAATAAACTCTTGAATGCAACGGGATGTCAAAATCAAAAAAAAAAAAAGCAAACACTGAACCAGAGGATAAGAAAAACAACAAATTCTTCTACAGTTACCCAGTATTAGTGGTCTCCAAACATTTTTGTTTGGTGCTCCCAATACAAATTTTGGGAAACTATACATCCTTTTTGTTGGTGGCATCTAAGGTTTTTCATCATAAATTTAAAATGTTCCAAAGGATCCAATGAATGGCAAATATAATTTTAAAATAAAACTATAACAGTATCCTTTTAAGTATATTCAAGGGAACCTAAATAACATCAGGATTCACCAGCCACTGTACATTTTAAAAGTACTATAAAAGGAAAGGCTCTTTTTGTCAGTAAATTTTTCACTTTTTACAATACTATACTTTTAACTGAAAGTAACATATGAACAGGAAAGTACACAAATCACAACTGCAGAGCATGATGAATTTTGGTCACCTGTGTGAACACCACTGAGCATAGAACATTCCCAGCACCCCAGAAGCCTCCCCTACTCCCGCCCAGACATCCCCCAATTCACTTTTGTTTTTACTTCTTCCATTCCATTTCCCCCAAAGAACAGCTTAGCCTAACAGAACATATTTAATGCTTGTAAGTCTTGTACATTATATTATACCTTCTCTACAACGAAAATATGTATACAAATTACATTTAATATTTTTAAGTTTCCTGTGATCATAAGGCTGTACTTGTTATACATATATTGACCTATCATTGTAAGAACATAGTACACAATTCATCAAAACACCATAAATATTATAAATTTTTATTAAAATGTACATTATACTAACATCAATTTCTCCACTTTGATAACTATACTATGGTTATAACTGATTTAACATTAGGAAAACTGGGTAAAGGGCACATAGAAACTCTATATTATTTTTGCAACTTTTCTAAAAGTCTAAAATTATTTTTTAAAAATATTACATAAAAAGAGTACACAATAATATTGGAAACATTTCAAGTGTTTGCATTCCTCTTGCATGTGAGTTAGAAGTCTCTGGATTGAAGAAGACGTCTAACTTCTGGTGCTCTGTATTTTCTTAGAAAATACAGAGCACCAGAAGCCACAAAGTATACCGCATTTAGGTAATGGATTATTAATATTCCCAAACATACATGTACAACACATTCAAAGAGAAGTGAAGAAAATACAGGTTAGAATTTATTAATACTGACTGAGTCCAAATTGAGGTGGAATTCCTATACACCTACAGTAATAGTTCAGAATCTATTGAAATAAATAATATACTACTAACAGGAATTAGGAATGCAGTCTCTACTGTGAGCTATTTTAAGACTGTTTAAATACCTATTTAAAATAGTTGCATCTGATTCACTTCAAGCACCCAGTCACACATTTAGAAAACCAAATCCACATCTTCCAGGCAGTAAGGAAGAAAATAAAGTTTAAATTATTTTCTGCCCATGAAGCTCAGACATAAAATAAAACTGGAACTTGTTATAAAGATTCAAAATATACATTTATCTAAGATTATGAAGAAACTATTTGACATTAGAGACAGCATAGGCTGGATATTTATACACATTGACTGAGTATAAGACAGTAGAACTGAATAATCAAGAAAGAGCCTTCATTTCTAAAAAATGAGGAGACAAGTATATGAAGTGACCGAAAACAAAACTTGTTAGCATGAGTGAGTACCTGGGGCATAAGTCCTGGAAATAAAATATAACTCAACCACTGAGCAAATAACAAAATTCCTATTAGATTTGCATCTCTTCATTAGACAGATGAGATTAGCTGCCCTCTTCTCCAATAGGTCACGTATCTCTCCATAGTTGAAAATTACTCACTGCTAGAATAAGGCAGGGTTTCAGCATCAATTCTATTCCTATTTTCTCTTTCATAGATGTAAACACTAAGAAACCTTGTTCACAAATATAATAGCTAACACTTATATAGTGTTTACTATGTGGCAGGCATGTGATGTTCTAAGCACTTATTAAATCCTCACGATAGTCCTACAAAGTGGTGTCATTAGTACCTTCTCTTTACCAATGAGGAAGCTGACACTCAGAAAGCTCACTTGCCCAAGATCAGTCAGCAGAACTGCGATCTGGGCCCAGGTTAGCTGGCTGCAGAGACCGTGCTTCTAGCCACTAGGCAATATTGCCTCTCTAGGCTGATGTTAACCAATGAGACTGGCTGAAGTTTAATATAGCAATATCATTCAATTCTTTGAACTCTTTTCTAATTATATGTCAAAAGTCACAAGATGACCTATCTTTAAATTTTATATTTAATGATCTATCAGCTGACTATTTGATTATGTCCTTCTTCAATTTTGTTGAAGCAAAGAAATGGAAATCATTACCATGCAAAAAGATTCGTTATGCTATTACCTGAATTAAACACCAATATTTTTGTTCCTTTCTTTGGAACCCTTGAAATTTTTACACCCCAGGACAATGCACCATATTAAGATTCTAGGTGGGTCATTCTTTTATAAAGGGAAAAGACAGTAACTATGAAAAGGAAGGTGAGAAGGGAGAACCTATCCACATGAGGGGCTCACAAGCAGCTCAATTTTAGGAAAGAGAATCTATGGGATTTGCAATCCAGAAGTAGAGTATTTTAAAACCATCCATCCTACAGAGTCCTTGCAAAGTCTTCAGGTATGTCCAGGGATGTGAACACTTCAGTCTGATTTGCAGACTGCTGCCCTATATCACAGACTTCTTTTGTTTTTAAAGGATGTTAATTTTCTCTGCTGGCTACATGCCTCAATGTCAGGTACCTTTAAATGGAGCAAAGTAGCTACAAGAGCATTACCTGGGAAAGTGATTAACCTTTTGTGCTTCAGAGAGGGTGCGAAGTAAAAAGGGCTTCAGGTGGGATCCTGTCCACATTAGGTTATAGTCAGTGCTGCTTGGGTGAACCTAAGGGCAGATAAAAAGACAAGATAAGAAACACCAAAGGGACTTCACTGGTGGCACAGTGGTTAAGAATCCGCCTGCCAATGCAGGGGACACGGGTTCGAGCCCTGGTCCGGGAAGATCCCACATGCCGCAGTGCAACTAAGCCCATGCGCCACAACTACTGAGACTGCGCTCTAGAGTTCATGAGCCACAACTACTGAGCCTGCGTGCCACAACTACTGAAGCCCGTGCACCTAGAGCCCGTGCTCCACAACAAGAGAAGCCACCGCAATGAGAAGACCGCGCACCGCAACGAAGAGTAGCCACCACTCGCCGCAACTAGACAAAGCCCGCACGCAGCAATGAAGACCCAACGCAGCCAAAAATAAATAAATAAATTTATTTTAAAAAAAAAGAAAGAACCAGAGACAGCCCCTGGAAGAACGATGGAATCTAAAAGTCATAGAGATTTTTCATACACAGAGCACTCACAGGGGCGGGTCAGTTAGGATGTGAGCTTAGTAAGACAAAAGCTGAGTGTACAGAACAGAGGGATAAGCAAGTTTAAAGAATGAGAGAGCTGGACAAGTCTCACATGCAAAAAGTAGAATTAATCCTTTTATAAAAGTCCATGATATCTGCATATCAAAGTGAGAGATGAGGACCCAACCCCAAAACTCCCTTCTCAGACTGTCCTTATATCCTTGCAGATGCTGGGTATAAAGTGATGATCAGATCTAAAACCTTATAGTAGCAAACCAACTTAGAATTCATTCATTCATTCATTAGAATTCATTTGTCCATTAATTCAACAATTATGTACTCTCTGCCTCTGATGTGACAGGTACCATGTTAAGCCCTGGAAATAAAACAGCAACAAAGACAGTATATAAACTGGTATCAGAACTTCCTCAAAATGTCTACTTCATACGTCAACCTAGGATAAGAAGCGAGCAACCAGACTTTTATCAACTGTCTCAAAATATCCACAGTGGAAGTCCCTCCAGCATTTTTGCCTTTGCCTTTTGATGTCAAATCCCCATTTTCCCAATTTTCTTTGGGAATAACATACTCCTTGGTTTTAAAGGACCTGGCAATCACCTGCCCCTCCCTTCCCCCAAGGAGTGGACCCTTGACCCAAGCTAGGCTAATCATTCTATCTCCAGAATATGCTTCTTGAGCAGAGAAAGGCACAAGGACAATGAATGCAGTCGATTCATTCCACAGCAGTAAAGGTGGTCTTGAAGACTTCTGTTGCCAGATCCCTGGAGCTACTGCATTCTCTCTTCTTCCAAAGGTCTGCTTTTTCAGCTTTTCCTCTGGTTCTGCTAGCCATTCTATGTACATCTTTACTATAAATCCCTTTTGGTTTATGTTGGGCAGAGTCTGTTTCTGTTGCTTGCAATCAAAGAGGTTTAATTGGGTATTAGACAATTCCTTATGGGAAACTCTGCCTCTAGCCCATGCCTAAAAATACAGCAAGGAAAAAAAAATTTTTTTTCCCTAAAAAAAAGCCCCACAAAATCTTGTGGAAATGTTTTCCATGTATTTCAAGGAAAAACTGGTAAAGTGACTCAGAAAGTCAGAAAGTCAATGCAAGTTCTGCATCATCACTAAGGAGTGGTTCCGTGTACTTTCTAGAGCTGGCCCTGTTAGCCGACAGTCAGTTAGGTGGCTAGGATTTTCAGCTTTTGAGCAGATAAGGTAAGGTAGTAAAAATGAGCTTACTTCATGAAATCCATGGGCTGTCAGGATGCTGCGAACCAGGCGACTGTCTGTTCGTACGATCTTGTAAGACAAGTGATAACGTTCTAAAGAAAAACATAGAATCAAGTTCAGTAACCAGAAAGTTAACTATAGAGAAAGAAATAAACTGTAAGATGGTGGCTGGACTAATTATACTCAATAACACAATACTGTTATCCTTAGGCTACTATAAGTAGGTTGAGGATTATTTTGGACTAAGGGTCCTAAAGCTGAGATTCACTGACTGTCACTAAACATGGATGGGGGTGGGGCGGCGGGAATGACATTCCTGTTTTCACCAAATTCTAGTTCCAATTTAACATTACCTTCAATTAGGAATGTAGGCAACAAAGGAGAATAGTATTAGCAATGCCTGAGACCCTGCCACCAACAGATATCAGGTATTCTAACATTCTTTTACAGTTGTTACAGTTATCTCAAAAAATCACTTATTCTCAAAAAAAAAAAAAATCACTTATTCTCTGGTGGCCTAGTGGTTAGGACTCCGGGCTTTCACTGCGTGGTGCAGGTTCAATTCTTGGTCGGGAACCGAGATAATGAAAGCCGCACAGCACGGCCAAAAAAAAATCACTTACTCCCACAGTATTTAAAAATTATGGCAGTGAACAGACCTACCACTAGATCATGTTATTTAATGCACTAATAAAAGGCATACATATCACAAATTTGGTTTTTAAAAATATTTTGAGAACTATATTTTAATACAATTTATTTTCTTTGTAGTCTTACGTATTTTTAAAATACACTTAGAAAACATTATTCTGAGAAGAGACCCATAAGTTTCCCCATACTGCCAACGCCACCCACTGCACCAAAAAGGCTAAGAACGCCGTTCTAAATAGCTCTCATGTGCAACAATGTTGGTTACCAGCATATCTTAGGCCAGAGGTTATAAACTGATGACACGAGGGCCAAAACCAATCTGCAGACATGGTTTGTTCGTTCCTCCTTGTGCTTTAAAAATAAAATTGAATTAATTGCTAACCTTTTGAAATTGGAGGAATTCATATAAAAATCTAGATTTCTGAGGGCTTCCCTGGTGGCGCAGTGGTTGGGAGTCCGCCTGCCAATGCAGGGCACACGGACGGGTTCGTGCCCCGGTCCGGGAAGATCCCACGTGCCGCGGAGCGGCTGGGCCCGTGAGCCATGGCCGCTGAGCCTGCACGTCCGGAGCCTGTGCTCTGCAACGGGAGAGGCCGCAGCAGTGAGAGGCCCTCGTACCGCAGAAAAAAAAAAAAAAAAATCTAGATTTCTGGACTTCTCTTGAAAACCCTGGCAACCCTGGGCTCTCTCTCTGGCAAGGCAAGAGTCAACCAGAGAAGTGCAAGTGCTCCCTGCAGGACAGGCCTGCGCTGTCCAGTTCAGCACCATCCCCACCTGACCTGCTTCACTCATTCTTATCTCCTGCCAGGCCTCTGAGAGCATTCTGTGCTTGTGACCCCTGTCTAAGAGGAATGTCTGTAATCATGTGAGGTTTCTATATAGCCCCAAAGACTAAAGTTTTCTCTGGCGCATTACATGCAATCTCTTTCTATGCATCACTGTAAACTGTTAGCTAAGAATTCTACAGAACGATTTTTTTAAAGGACTGCATACCGAACCATTTCTGAGTGAGTATAATACAGAAACTTATGGACAGGCTCCGGAACAAAATTCAGCCTCTACAAAGATAAGCATTTCTTTTTATAACTCTATGTGAAAATATTCATAAATCCCTGCTGCTACTTGCCCAGCCCTGGCAGGAACACCATGCCAAGCAGACACAGGAGGATTGGAATGATAAGGCCAGACACTCCATACTTCTCATTCTTGTGGCAAACTTTAAAGCCCAGTTACAAGGTTTTCCCAATGGTCAATCACTATTATGTTGTCTTTGCAATATTTTTTGTGTTCTAAGGTTTCCTAAAGCTTACCTCTATAAGGACAGTCAACAGAAAGAGAAACCAGCTGAACTCTGCTTCATTCTAGCAATAAGCAATATTCAACCATGGATAAATGAGCCAATTAGTTTTGTAAACGCTCAATTCATATTATGAAGAAATGGATTTTTTTTTACTTTTATGTTTATTATTTATAAAAATTTTAATTTATTCTTATGCTCAACTGTATATTCATTAAGACTGTAAGATAGCTCAGTCCAGGACACATTCAATCTTTGGAGATATATGAACATAATAAATCTAATAAGATATAAAAAAAGGAGTTTGTGTTCTGATTCCAAGTTGGGGAAGGAAAGTACAAGATAGGTGTGGAATAGCTTGCTATGCCAAAAAAGAGGACAGTCACAAGGATTGCGAACATGTCACAAGGATCTTTTTTTTTTTTTCACTGCTGCAGCCTCTCCCTTTGCGGAGCACAGGCTCCGGACGCGCAGGCTCAGCGGCCATGGCTCACGGGCCCAGCCGCTCCGCGGCACGCGGGATCTTCCCGGACTGGGGCACGAACCCGCGTCCCCTGCATCGGCAGGCGGACTCTCAACCACTGCGCCACCAGGTAAGACCGTTTTTTTTTTTTTTGGCACAAGGATCTTGAAGGGGCTCCCCAAGGCCAAATTTGAGGCAATCTGAATATAAAAATGAATACTGACAGAAAAAGATTTTAACTCACTTATAAGAAAGAAAACAACCCATGAATCCACACTGCTAAGAAAGTGAGAAGGTATACTACTGGTTTTCTAGGTCAGAAGTACGATACAAGTGTCATCAAGGCATCGGCAGGACTGCGTTCCTTTCTATAGGCTCTGGGTAGGGTCCACTTCCTTTCCTTTTCCATCTTCTAGAGGCTGCCCCTATTCTTCTTCTATCTTCAAAGCCAGCAATGACAGGTCTAGTCCTTCTCACACTGCAACAGTCTGACTCTTCTTCTGTCTCCTTCTATTTTAAAGGACTCCTGTAATTACGTTGGGGCCACTTGAAGAATCTCCTTATCTTAAGGGTTAGCTGATTAGCAACCTTAATTCCATCTATGACCCCAATTCCGCTTTGCTAAGTCAGGTAACATTTTCACAGGTTCTGGGGATTAGGAGGTAGACATCTTTGGGAGACTATTACTTTCGCATAGAAGGGAAAGCTCTTCTTTACAGAAAAGCCAGCTAATAAATGTAGAAGGAAAAACTGAAATAGAAAATCACCATTTTACAAAAACTGCAACAGTAAGTGATTCAGACAAGAATCAATGAATTCCAACAGTCAGAGACTACTGGAGAACAGGATATTCATACATCTCAAAATATCACCCCAGAGAATGCTTTTAACAAAGGAGAAGGGTACCTGTACAATGAAGCAATCTGGTAAACACTATCTTAACCAAGTGATCAAACTTGTCATCACCAGTAATGCAATACAATGACATCACATGATTTCTAATGTGATACACTGAGGACATGACTTCATTAAATGATATTCCTACAAATTTTTTTCAACTTTTTTATTCTTTTTAACCTTTTTCAACCTTTTTAATCTAAACATGTGGAATCAATCTGACAAGCCCAAACTTAAGGACATCTGCAAAGCAACTAGTCTGGAATCTTTAAAAATGCCAATGTTATGAAAGACCAAAAAAAAAAAAATCCAGTAAATGGTTGTAGATATAAAGGAGCCTAAAGAAATATGACAACTAAATGCAATCTCTGATTGGATTCTGGATTTGAAAGGAAAAAAAAAAGATAAAGGACAAAATTGGAACAATTGAGGAAATCTGGGCAGGGACTGTATATTAGATAAGAGTGTTTTAGCAATGACAGATTTCCTGAGTGTCGTCAGTGTACTGTGGTTATAGAGAGGATGCCCTTGTTCTTAGGATAAACATGTTGAATAAGGTATTTAGGTCTGAAGTATGTGAACTAATTTTCAAATGGTTCAGAGAGAGAAAGAAGGTAAAGCAAACATGGCAAAATGTTAATAACGGGTGAAAGCAAGGAAATAGTATACATGAATTCATTGCACTATACTTATAACTTGCCAGACGGTTTTTTTATTTCTTTAAATAAAATGTTCAGAAAACCAGGTCTTTTTCATTGTGATAACTGATCACTGACAGCTCCATTTTTGTACATAAAAAGCCAAAGCCTCATCAACTGCTGGGGACCAGGACTGCGCCCGATTCTCTGACTGTTCTGCAGTGCTTGCCCCAGGCCACAGAGAAGATGATCGGTCAGGTGTGTGGAAAAATAGAGGATGATTATGTGGGGACTGGGGGAGAAGGGGAATAATAAAAGAAAGAGTATGTCTCTGGAGTTGAACTGCCGGGGTTCAAACCCTGGCTCTACTACTTCCTGCCTGCTGTCTTAAATAAGTTACTTAATTTCACTATGCTCAATTTCCTCACCTATAAAATGGGGTTGATAACAAAGGTACTTATCTCACAGGGTAGTTAAAAGCACTAAATCAGTTAATACATGTAGAGCTTTTAGAATAGGAAAGCTTGCTGATATGGGGATTCCCTGGCTGTCCGGTGGTTAGGACTCGGCGCTTTCACTGCTGTGGCCTGTGTTCAATCCCTGGTTGGGAAACTAAGATCCTGCAAGCTGCACGGTGCAGACCCCCGAAAAAAGAAAGCTTGCTGATACATAGAAAAATAATTTCATACAGTAAAACAGTAAATACATAGTAAAATAGCTACTAATACATATATAAATACATAGTATAATACACAGTAAATTATACATTTTATATAGCAAGTTAAAAAATAAAAATGCTATTAATACTCTTTCTCCTACTTCTCCTAATATAGAAGTAAAATGCAGTCATCACTGTGCTCAATGGCAGACCTGATTCTCATGGTATGTAAGCAGTGACCACCTACTTCTTTTTTTTTTTTAAATAAATTTATTGATTTATTTATTTTTGGCTGTGATGGGTCTTCCTTGCTGCGTGCAGGCTTTCTCTAGTTGAGGCAAGTAGGGGCTACTCTTCGTTGCGGTGCGCGGGCTTCTCATTGAGGTGGCTTCTCTTGTTGAGGAGCACGGGCTCTAGGCGCATGGGCTTCAGTAGCTGTGGCATGCAGGCTCAGTAGCTGTGGCTTGCAGGCTCAGTAATTGTGGGTT